ACCCTTATCGACACAGCACTTGAGGAAGGTACAGACACGTGCATCGTGTTCTTCATCTGTTCGACCCCAAATAATCACATCGTCAGCGATACAGCGGACTCCCTCAAGGCCTTCAAGAGCATGATGTAGTCGTTTTTGGAAGATTTCACTGCTGACTTTCAAACCAAATGGGAGACGTAGCCACCGAAAGCGTCCGAAAGGCGTGGCAAACGTGGTCAACAAACTTGATGCATGATCGAGCTCACAGTGAAGGTACCCAGACTTGAGATCACAAACAGAGAATACTTTCGCCTTGGTAAAGTCTGGAAGAACATCTTCTAGAGTGGGAAGCTTGTAGTGTTCACGTTTCAGTGCTTCATTAAGAGGTCTTGGGTCAATGCAGATACGAATTCCAGCTTTCTTTTCAGCAACAGACATTTGACTGACCCAGTCAGTAGGTTCATCCACAGGCACAATGATTCCTGCATCCACTAAACGCTGAAGTTCATCTCTGACAACTTGTTTTCTAGACTCAGGCAGAGTGCGGGCACAACGGACGACAGGAGTGGAACCTTCAATGGTTGTTAAGTGAACTTTCTTCCCAGGTAGGGTACCAGGGGTGTCTTTAAAGGCATCAGGAAACTGTTTGAAGTATTGGCTACCATGGGTGACAACATTAACTGCTTTAAACTTGTCATAATGGACACTCAAGAGATTCATCTTCTGTGCAGCAATACTGCTGAGGAGAGGTGTGAAGTGGTTGTTAACAATGACAAAGTCCACCTTGTTCTTCTTCTTAGTGGTGGGGTTCTTGACTTTGACCTTACACTTGCTAAGGGCAGGTAAAGACGTTTTGTTCCACATCTGAAGATGAACCCTCTCAGGACGAATAGCGTGCTGATCCCCCAGGTAGTGCTTTGGAAGAATACAAACTGTAGCCCCACAGTCAATTTGCATTCTGACAGGCCTTTTGTTGATTTCCATTTCGCAGAAAATAAGCTGGTTGCCAGGGTTTACTGAATTGACAACTTGATCTTCAAAAGCTGTTACAGTGCTAATGGTTCCAGTGCTGCTTTCAGATGAATCAGAGGAGTAACCATCAGCAAGCGAGTTGACACCTTGGTGTTTACACTTCTTTGACGCTTTGAAGTGATTTCTTTCACCACAGGCAGCACAGGTTTTTCCCCAGGCAGGGCACAATTCTTTTTTCATCACATGAATTTGAAGACAGAATAGACACTTCTTCTTTGCAGGTTTCTGATCATCACTTTGGGGAGGTTTCTTGGTTTTATGCTGGTGTTTATCTAGGCCTGACTTCTTTGTCTTCTTCGATATATCCTTGATCTTATTAATTTCTTCATTCTTCAGGGCCTTCATGTGAAGAGAAGCAGCCTCCATTCCTCGACAGATGTCAATAGCTTTATTCAGAGTCAAATCATGAGTAGAGAGTAGCTCTTCGCGTGTTTTGTCATCCGAGATGCCTAAGAGCAGGCGGTCCATAATCAACAAATCTCGCATGCAGTCACAGAAACCACAAGTCTTAGCCATGTTTCGCAGAACTGAAAGATACTCATCAATGGACTCACCAGAAGCTTGATCTCTACGGTTGAACTGAAAACGTTCAAAGAATTCCTGAGTTTGACCGAGAAAATGCTGATCGTACTTGACTAGAATATCTGCCATCTTGTTACGGTCCTCGCCTTCGGAGAATTTCATGCCGTTGAAAATTCGCATGGCTTCTATTCCAATGCTATGCAGTAAAATGGCGCACTTGTAGTCTTCTGGCTGGTTGTTTAAGCCCGTGATGATACAGTAATTTTCCCATCGTTGTTTCCAGATTTTCCAGTTGTCGGCCCGATCGCCTTCGATCTCTAGAGGTTGCGGAGGAGAAACTTGTGGCCGACGAAAAGCAGGAGCTGAAGCTTGCGGTCCAGAAGCTTGACTGTCAGAATCAGTAGGCATTGTTTACCGCTGCCACCATGTAACAATTATTACCGGTGTATTAAGCCGGACAAGAAGACGAAGTGAATTGAGCAACTTCAAGATGGCGGTTCAACAACAACTCTTTAATCCATGAAAGCGAGGCTAATACGTCACGACTTACAATATCTCAATGTTAACCAATGTTAGCATACGCCAGCCGGGCTTTGAGTGAAGCAGAAGCCAGATATGCCACCATAGAGAAGGAGATGCTCGCGATTGTGTTTTCCCTAGAAAAATGGCACCAGTACACGTTTGGTCGTCCTGTGGCTGTGTATTCAGATCATAAACCACTTGCAAGCATCGTGAAGAAGCCCCTGGACAGAGCTCCTAAGCGCTTACAGGGAATGTTAATGCGCGCCCTGGCATATGACATCGAAGTTAGATACCTAAATGGTAAAGAAATGTACCTAGCCGACACGCTCAGCAGAGCTCACCTGCCAAGAACCTCTAATTGTGGACAAGAAGAGTTCGAGACCATAAATGCCCTCTCCTATCTGATCATGCCTGAAGAGAAGATTCATGAGATCCGCCAGCACACCAGTGACGATACCTCTCTTCAACAGCTGAAACGCATAATACAAGAAGGTTGGCCAGCAGACGAGAAATCACTACCACCCCTCGTTACCCCCTACTTCAGTGTCAGGGATGAACTTGCAGTTACAGACGGCTTGATATTCCGCGGCGAGCGACTTGTGATACCTAAAGGAATGCGAGCAGCAGTCAAGAAAGACATCCATAGCGGACACCAAGGAATTGAAGCCTGCCTGCGCCGCGCAAGGGAACATGTCTATTGGCCAGGAATGAACAAGGAATTAAAAGCGTGGATTCGCACCTGTGAGACATGCAGAGAGAATGAACTGACACCTTGCAAAGAGACGCTTATGTCTCATGAAATCCCTGAAGGAGCATGGGAGAAAATTGGAGCAGACCTTTTCACTTATCATGACAAAGAGTACCTCGTCACCGTCTGCTACAAGTCTAACTTCTGGGAGTTGGATCCACTCACCAACACCAAGTCATCAACTGTGATCAAAAAGTTGAAGTCACACCTGGCGCGGTATGGTATCCCCAGGCAACTGGTTACAGATAATGGTCCCCAGTTTACATCCAGCGAATTCAAGTCTTTTACAAAGAAATGGGGCATTGAACACACTACCACATCACCGTACCACAGCAAAGCAAACGGAAAGGTTGAATCGGCTGTGAAAACTGCGAAAAGAATGTTACGCAAGACATCAAAGTCAGGAGAAGACCAGTACCTGGCTCTACTCAATATCCGGAACACATCAACTCAAGGTGTTGCTAGTAGCCCAGCACAGCGTCTTCTGGGAAGAAGGACAAGAAGTCTGCTACCATCCACAAGATCACTCCTGGAACCCAGAAACCCACCAAATCTCTATGAGATGGAACAACTCCAGTTAAACCAAAAGAGGCAGCAGTGTTATTACAACCGGTTAGCCCATGATCTTCCAGCCCTGAATGTTGGCGACACTGTCAGAATGAAGCCATTTGTGCTCGGCAAACATGATTGGGACAAGGGTAAAGTGACAAAGCGATTAGATGAGAGGTCCTACGAAATCCAGTCACACGAATCCACCTATAGACGCAATAGGCAGCACCTGGTCAAGAGCCCTCCTGTACCAGTACCAGATACACTACCTGCACCATATCCACTACCTGGACCTCAACAGAGTCCAGATACCGGATTGCTAAACACACAAGCTGCGAACAGCCAGAAGGTCCACCTGGAAGCAAAGTCCACCAAGCAATCATCACCTGTGCGTACTCGCTCGGGACGTGTCATCAAAGAGCCCGTTAGATTCCAAGACTATGTTAAGACTTAATCGTTATCATTTTATTTTTCTTTCGTAACATCGATTTCCAGGAACTGAGACTTTAGAACAGTAGTTCAGAAAAATAACACACTGCACTTTCAGTATATTCTTTGTTTAATAAGCTTAGTTTTGCAGTATCATTGTTAAGTTTTGCCATTATCAAAAAAAAGGGGAGGATGTGACAATATTGGTTAACATTGGTTAACATTGAGATATTGTAAGTCGTGACGTATTAGCCTCGCTTTCATGGATTAAAGAGTTGTTGTTGAACCGCCATCTTGAAGTTGCCTAATTCACTTCGTCTTCTTGTCCGGCTTAATACACCGGTAATAATTGTTACAGTTCCTATGCTCATCTCTTTCGCTCCGAGATACGAGGAGTACACTCTAGAAACGAAATTGTAGTGTCCTTTCAGTATTCACCATTCTCACATAGACCATAATGCACTTTGTTTATTCCCCCACTCCCCCCAAAAAGTGAATAAATAAATGAATAAAATTGCATAACCATTGTTTCAATTTCTCCGAGGTATTACAATCGTCAGAGGAGAAATCAAAGACAAAAAGTGCCGCGTTATAAAGAGCGTTTTCACATCACGTCACGTCCGTCATATTGATATCCCAAAACCTAACGGCGGCCATGTTGGTGTTCCAAACCAATCCTGTGGGGGTTTTACCTTCTACTTATGTTTATGTTTGTTTGTCCCAATAAATTTGCATGGCAAGCTGGCTACATGAGCAAAATGGCAATTTTCTATGATCGACTGCCGACTAGTGCTAGAAATGAGCCCACCCTTCCCAGATCTGGCCACGAGAGAGCGGCGGCAGAAGTCAAGCCCATCATGAGGCAATTCATCTTTGAACAGTCGGGTCTGAAGAAGGTGGAGAATGATCTAGTGGGAATAAGGACAAAATAACAACAAGAGGTGCTGGGAGGAGTCTGGTGTCCTTTTTTGCCTCCTGTGAGGCATAACGACCCTCCAGCATCACTGCAGGCTAAAACAATGTATCTGTTTTACTGAGTTTAATATTTCTGCACGTTTATAAGTCAAGGGTCTAAAAATGGTCTAAAGTTGGTAATATTAGTCTATGAGGGAGCTTCGATTCCCGATTGCAAATTGAAGGAGTTGCATACTGTACATGATCGTAAGTTGTTCACGTCCATACAAATAGCCGGGGATTTTAAAACGAGCGTCCTTAAAGTTTAGTTGAAGTTTGGCACCACCACGTACTCATTCTGCACGTCATATCTTGCTCGAAGAGACGCGATGTCATGGCGGGAACCCCTCGCATTGGCTCTAGAACTCATTTTCAGCTTCCACATTTTCATGCATAACCAAGCAAATGCTGTTACCATAGCAACAATCACGGCTATTGAAACGCCAAGCAAGATCCAGGAGACCTTGTCCATAATTACGGGATCGTATGATTTTCTAACAGTGTCTTTTGAGTCAAGAGGATTATCTAATGGATAAAACAAACAGCATATGGGTTAGAAAAAGTAGCTAAAAGGGGCAAGGGCTGCAACTTGCAAAAAATCCGCATTTTTTTCCTATTTTGGTTTGTTTGGTGTTGTTTTTTTATTTTCATAAGAAAATTGCAATCCGGTGGTCCCGGGTTCCAGGCCCGCTCTGGCCATTTGCTGGATTTGTTCTCGGTCACCCCAAGCTAATAGACTTATATTTACAGCCCCAAAAAATCTAATCAAATTTCGACCACAATCTTAAGCCATAAATTTACAGGTAATGATTCCTAGGTAGGTCTTTCTGTTTAAGGGAAAGACCTCAATCAACTAATTCTGTCTCGCAATTCATAGTTTTATAGGTTAAAAAGGCTTGAACCACGCCAAAGTTCGTCACACTAAGGGGTTAAATTTCAATTTTCCATTTTCACCCATTTTCAAAAGGGGTCATCCTCCGGACTTAGTTTTGTTGCCTTATTTCAGTAAATGGGATGTTCGCCACTCAACGGTAGCTCCCAATGTAAATGCCATGGTTCTTCGATCAAATTTTCTTTCTAAATTGCTAATAGAGTGTTGACTGGAACTCTGCTAAGTAAATTGAAAGCGGTTTTAAAGGGCGGTGTCAGCGCACGAGTTGTTCCCCTAATTTAGGAAGGTATTCACATTTTGCATAGCACCTTCCCAAAGAGGGGGAAGCACTGGTGAGTTGTGCTCGTGGTCAGCAACATAGTAACATGTTTTGTCGGTCTTAGGCGTGGGGAGGCTATAAGAAAGATGAGGAGAGTTAACACTATACCTAAATGAAATGATTTCACGAAAAGTGGATAAAAATTAATTCACCCTCGCCTGTACTCACCCTGAACCCTGACCGAGTATGTATGGTTTATACTGCCATATGGATTGGACACTATACAAGTGTATTCCCCAGCGTCTCCAGGTACTAGGTCTTTTAGTTTTAAGTACCAAATTGAAGTGTTCAGGTATGGGTCCAATATTCTCGCTCTTAAAATCTTCCCTTCTTTAAGCCAGGTGTATTTAAGAGGTGCTGCTCCCTCTGCCTTACACTTTAACATGACTGAGTGACCCACTGACCATTCTGTAAGTGTTCTTGCCAAGGTATCTGGATAGTAAACACGGAAGATGTTTATGAATAGTAAATGTGTGTAACTCAAGAAACCTATGCCAGAATTCATTTGTGGGAATGGTCATTCATTTCTGGGAGGAAGGTGGGGGCGATAAAAAGTCTAAAACGAGGGCCCAAATATGTTAGCCTTCCTCTTAATTTAGGTCCAAAAAAGAAACGCCAGATTGATATTGTATGAAACAGTAACCTTTTCTTGTAATTAATTTTATTCAGTTGACTACGGAAGACGACAATAACGGACTCTACGATCTGACTCTCTCACTCACATAGCGCAAAATAAATCAAAATGCGTGATCATTGTAGATAATCTTCAAAAAAAAATAGCCCTTTTTTCATAGGAGCGAGACAGGATCGACTAAATTCCTCGATAGGTTTCTTCTTACAAGTGCTCCCATTCTACCACTTAGAAATTTCCAAAAGATTTACTTTATACCTGTAAGTACGAGATATTTCATACCTGCAAATACTGGAGGTATAATGATAGATCTGTGTGTGACTGTAAGGATGGTCTGACGTGACTCATAGCCGATACGGTTTTCGGCTTGACACCCATAAAGTCCGGACTGATCGATCGTCACATTTTGCAACGTCAGAGTAAATTCCACATGTGCCATTTCCTGATTTCCCCCGTTAAATGCTGGCTGTTCGTACAATCGTGGGTCAATTAAAACGCCCAAGTTCTCCTCATTCGGAATGTTCGTGTCGCTATAATACCAGTGGTACTTCGTGTTTGGGTCAAAGGTCACTATTGTGCAAGAAATCTCCACATTTTCACCGACATAGAGGGGAGACTTCTGTTCCCATATTATCAATATGTTGGGCTGGCTGCGAATTAAGTCTAAAAGGAGAAAAAAAATGAAAAAGTACAAAGTCAAGGTAAAAGGAAGTAACAATTGGTCACCAGTAAGAACAGAGATAAGTAACCTTGCCCTTGACTAAGAAGTAAATGCCCACAGAAGACAAACTCAAAAAAACAAAACTCTATCATATTTAGCCGTGAAGGTCTCGTTTAGGGTTACACCCGAAAAAATATAAAAAATATATATATTGTCTGTGTTTTAACATGGTCTCTTTTAGGGGTCAAAAAAAGCTTCGGCCACACCAAAATTGGTCCCCTTTAGGGGTTTAATTCAAAATTTCCGACGAGCATCCCCACCCCTTTCATATGGGAAGTCCCTCCCACCGGCAATTTAAGACAACAAAGGAGTCTGAAGTCTTTTGAAGACAAAAGTTACAACTAGGTCACGAGTTGAGGAGGCCATACAACATCGAGGACTTGAGGATGCAGTTGGTTGGCGAATAACCAGTTATGACGTAGATGAAGGGAGAGGTGAGGTGGAAAGGCAAGTGTGCTAAGGTGTTATAAGAGCGAGAGCCTGTTGCAGAGCACCGCTATCTTATCAGCTAAAACAACGTACAAAACAGGGAACTGTATTACTGCGCTTATCACAAACATGCGAACTCTAAAGTTCAAAAGCCGCCTTCACAATTGCGTTTTCTGCTGCCGTCAATCATAATTACGATCACGAGCAACGAATTGAAACACCGACCTAGAGGAGGAGAAACCTCTCATGAAAATAGTCACTTGTAGCAACTGACATTTGGTAGGCTTATCCTTTATGGGGATAATCAGGAAAGGGCCAACATATAGACCTTTTATTATGCTGAGGACTGTTATTTTGTAATTCTGCTACGTAGTTCATTTTTCAAGTATCTGCCTTTTCATGTTTTGTTATATTTTTGTGCATTTAACTTTAGTTTTTCAGGCCACGGTTGTTCAAACAGTGGAAAGCGCTATCCACCCGGCGGATAAATCACTATCCAGCGGATAAAGATTATGGAAACCAATTGCGTTATCCACTAGTTAGATTTTTATACAGTGGATTGCGCTTTTCGCCTTTTGAACTTCTGGAGCCAGGACGCCCGTTGATATCAGCCGTCTTGAAGGGGCAAATACTGTACACATATAGGTAAAGTAACCAACTTAAGGGAAAAGACGGTCAAAAGGATAGAGGAGGTCACTCCAACAACAAATGCAAAGATCTATAGAGCTTGATAATCTCTTAGTCGCTTAAAAAGTGAATTTTTAGGTTCTTCAAGTCTTATCTTGATTATTCCTAGCCGCTTACTTTGTCAAATGTAGGCGAACCCTCCTGAAGTTGAATTCCAAGGGACGATATCCAATTTCAGAAGGAGAAATAAAATTTCTTCGTTTCTTGTTTACGTTCTCCATAGAACGTGCGCGAAATTAGGCACTTTCACGTCCTAGTCGTGCAAAAACGGCAAAGAAATGTAGAAAAAAGTTTAATGCACGTGCGAAGTTGTTGTATTGCTTATTAGAACCTTTTTTTTTTCACGTTCTCGTTGCGGTCGAGTCGTTGGGTCTTAAAGTCCCTATTAACTTGCATATAAGTACCAGCCTAGGAGCTGCCCAAAACGAAGCTGAATGCTGGAAAACCGTTGAAGCCGCCTGTATAACAGCCAACTGACGATGATGTGTGAGAGGTTATAACTATAGCAAACAAAAAACACTAACCTTGGACTGTAAGATTGTAAGTAAAAGTCAGAAACCCTAACTTGTTAGACACATTACACATGTAAGATCCGCTATCGGCAATTTTCAACCCATTGAATGCTAGTTGGTAGTCGTAAGGACCCGGTCTCTGACCGTCATGAGACCTTTCGTATATCTTGCCGTCTTTGTACCACGTGACAATCGGGGTAGGCTTACCAATAGCCTCACACGTTAAATCCAACTTATCTCCTCTAATAAATTCTTTTTTGGTCTTCCTCATTGAATCCAGATATAAAAATTGCGGTTTTTCTGAAAAGGCAGATAATATTGTTAGTGAACGAGTGGAGGAGATTTGTCAATTCTGCAATAAAGAAAATATTATCTCTTTTACGGTCCTAGAACAAGCCATAGCGAAATAGTTTGTCACTCTTTCGATTAAAACTGGGAACGTAATCATGTGCTATTACCATTCAAATGAATGAAATGAATGGTTTCACTGAAAAGGCAGGTAACGGTTGGTGAGAAAGTGAACGAACATTTTCAATCCTACAGAGAAGAGGACATGACGAACGCTCAACTCGCATTGAGACGAGGTTGAGTGCAACTGCACAAATTAATATAAAATAAGGAAATGCTTTTTTCACTTTACAAACTTGTCTTATGGTGAATTTTGTAAATTTGAGGATTTTAGATTGAAAAAGCTTAGCTAATTTTAATAAACAATTGGCAACCCTCTCTAAAACTCTAGAATTGCGTTCTAGTAAATTGAATGTTATACTGGAAGAGAGGAGAAGGCCAACTTTGTTGAAATGATTAAAAGTCTGTGTTTTTTTATTAACGAAACGTAGTGCTGGGTTAGTAGCGAAGTCGGTAAAAAGCACCATTTCTTGATAAAATCAACTGTACCGACCCGTTTCATAATGGCGGCCTTAATTAAATCTTTTATATGTATGATAATTAGCCTTTTTGACCTCGTTAGCATGTGCAAAATGCAAAGCAATCCTTACTTTCAAACGAGGTCAGGAAGGCTAATTATCATCAATATAAAAGAATATATTAATTGAAAGAGGCCTATGTTAAAATAAGAAACCTTCTCATATCGTCCATGGCAGCAGAAACAGGATAGTAACAAACTACGTGCCACTAGTAGGGTTGAAAAAGATTATCGTACCTCCTGTGATGTTAGTACGTGACTGGACAGTTGGATCTGTCACAAAGAAAAGAAATCTTTCATTATTAGTCTTAATCTGCGCAACAGACGAAACGAAACTTCTGGTTAAGTCTTAAGGCTGCGTAAGAGCGCTGAAATCCTTGTTCTGGGTCCCAGTTGTGTATCAGGATTTGAGTACCTGCTATGAGTGGCCTGTTAAAAAGCCAGTGTTCAGTTGCTAATCGAGCTGAAGGGTAGCCTGCGAAAACAGGCGTTTCTCCTCGCTCCCCGTCGCTAGGGGCGTTTCACGAGGAGGAACGTCTGCTACTCAGCGACAGAACTTCCATACTGATGGCGTAAATCAATGTTTACATAATAAATCCGGTAGTCATGGGGTTCCAAATTCAAATTTGTTCAATTTTATGGACTTTACGTTTTGGTAATGCGATGTGTTCACCTGCGAAAGAGCTCCAGTAAAACCCAAATGCTTCTTCTAGAGAAGAATATATCCCACAGATATTGACTGTTTTGTTATAGGGTCAATCAGCCCTTATCACCAGATTCCGGACAGATTTTGCGTCATCAGTATGGAATTTCTGTCACGGAGTCGCAGACGTTCCTCCTTACGAAACGTCCCCAGCGGCGAGGAGCGAGGAGAAACGGCTGTTTTTGCAGGCGAGTTGAAGGGAAATTCGAACACGCACTTCCAGTACACGTCATTGAGTCCTTTGGGGGGCCCAGAATAACGATCTCGGCGCTGCTTCACAGGCGTTACTAAGAAGGGTTAAATTTTGTCTGCGAGGCAGGCTATATCAGACTCCGATGTGGTTTTTGTTTGTCATATCGGTCGATTCTGAGGTTCTTAGTTACTGTATCTTATAACCCTAGCGCGACGGACACGCCCCATAAATCGCGGTGGGAAATGGATGTTCCTCAATTTACAGTAGTCGGACTTCAAAAACGTCTAATAAAGTAGCAAGAAACGCTTTTGAAACAAGACGCTATGGGAGCGTGCACTTCGACGTAGTGCTGTGGAATTAATTGTGAATGAGGAGGAGTAGTAAGAAATTATATTTTTCCTTATACCCTTCCGTACAAATACCCTTATTTTTCTCCTTTGAGTAAGAGACGTCTTAACCTCTTGACCGGAAGTCTGCTAGGCGCATGACCGCGTTCCGATTATAATTTCTGTCATAAATTGCGCACGACGAGATCTCGGTTCCACTTCCTTTATGTCCCCTACAAAAACACTTTCCTTATTTACAGTTAACTCCACACCTTCTCCAGCAACGTAACTAATTAACATCAGTACACTCCCCTACAAAACTTGCTGAAAATGCACAATCTCCACAACATCGCAACATAAGCTTTATGAAAAGCAATAACACGCAATACAAAAACGAGTATAAAAACACCTACTAGAAGAAAAATGATAATGATGCTTATCAGAACGGTTACGAAACCACAGTAACTGGGTTTTGCTTCTCCTTGTTGACAATCTATCGCTTTCCGAATCGCTTCGTCTACGCGTAACGCAAACGACCGTACCTTTTCCTCGATCTTCCTCTTTCGAATCACTCTTGCTGCAATAATCTCCAGTAATCGAAATCTCTTCACTCTCATTTCTGTCCCCACAGTGTTTTCCATGAAGGCATGTAACTTGTGTAATCTTGACTTTCTTAAAACTGATTTCGAGATATCTCGAACAACTTCCGCCTCACTTCGGAAGCAAACTACAAGTTTGCGACAGCACTCTTCAGCGTCGCAAATCCTTTGTTAGGCTGATTTAGCAACAGAGCGGGAACGTCATTTGACGACGGGAAAGCGCGGGGTAAAGACTAAACTCGACTTCCGATGCCCAGTTTGCCTCTGTGCCATTGGTCAAGCCAATTGTTTGATTTGCGCGCGCCGTCGTCAACTGACGTTTCCGTTCTGTTGCTAAATCAGCCTAATACTTTGCCCTCCTCCTCAAATATTTATTGAAGCCGAAAGAACTAGAAGTGATCTCGCAATATCTTCAACTCATTCCGGTGTCACTACGTCAAATACCCAAAACAAGCCGACAAGTAAAAAACTTGCGTGCCGAATCCTTTCCCATACCTTGTGCATAACTTATGGCTATTTTTTTCTCTCTCTCAGAAGTATATCAAAGATTCGCAAATATCTCACCCAGGACTCCGCTCAAATTCTCATCCATGCTTTTATTAGTTCTAAGCTTGACTACTGTAACTCACGTCTATATGGTATTCCAAAAGACTCAGTTTGTAGATTACAGCATGTTCAGAATACGGCAGCTCGCATTGTCACGTTAACAAGGAAGTATGATTCGATTACCCCAATAATGTTCAAGCTACACTGGCTCCCCGTACATGCACGTATTATTTTTAAGCTCCTGTTATTAGTCTATAAAGCACTCAATGGCAAAGCACCCTCTTACATTTGTAGTCTCTTGAGCCATCGAGAGTGCGCTCGGTCTTTACCCTCCAGTGGGCAAGAACTGCTCACTGTGCCACTGGCTAAACTAAAGACTTGTGGAGATCGAGCGTTCAGCATTGCTGCGCCAAGGCGATGGAATAACATACCTCTTAGCATTCGTAAATTTCCATCAATCGCTATTTTTAAAAGGAAAATTTGAAGACTTACCTTTTTAAAGAAGCCTATGGTTTTTAACTTTTATTTTTAATACACGTTTTTTTTTAAATTTCTTTCATTATCTGTAATTTTATCTTAGTATTTTTAGACCTTAGATTTTAACTTTCATTTTTTGTGTAATGTATTTATATTTTTAAAGCTTTGTAACTAATTTATCTCGATATTTTATTATATTTTTTAGCTTTTAGGTTCTACGTTAACCCGATCATTTTAAAGCGCTCTGAAAGAGTAGCTGAATAGCGCTATATAAATTATTATTATTATTATTATTATTATTATTATTATTATTTTCACGTCTCAAATTACCTTGCCTCGCAGTAGCGCAATCGGCTAATCCCTCAATTTAGAGTCTCATCTGATATGACGGGTGACACGTAAGCCGGTTCAAACCCTGGACAAGCCAAAATAATATTTCTTTCTTCCACGAATAAATAAATTAAATAATAAATTAGTCAACTCGAAGTGATCTCGAGGTATCCCGAAGTAATTCGGCTCTCACTTCGTCAAATAGCTGATTCAGATCGAAGACCGACGGACTTTGCGTGCCCAATCTTGTCCCCAAAAAAGCAACTTTGGGACATTCCTAAGCCTTGCGAAGCCTAAACTTTGCGCTCCTCCGAAGTAACAAGAAATAGGCCCGTAGGTAGGATTTTACAGGCCTTGAAAACCAAGTATGATTTTAAAATTTTACTGAGAAAACAAAAGTGCGTTACAAAGTTACAAGGGTTAAACTTAAAGTTTAAAAACTACTCTACAAATAAATTTTTTATGGCCACAGTTGAAGCACAGAATTAAACTTCCCTCCACGATACAGTAATTTACAGTAATTAAAATTGACCAATAAAAGAAAATTTAAACAGAGTTGTTTCTGAAAAGTGTCCTTGTTTCTATTTTGACAAGTTCCTGTAAACAATCTTATTCTAGCATCACTTCCAAGTATTAATTGTTATGTTTTTCCCCCTCTTTTGACCAGGTCGACACGTTTTATAAGCATACAGCATTACATCATGAAAAGGAAAAAAAACCCTTTCACTTAATTCCTCAACGTGATACAAAATTTATGTATCAGAAGTATAATTACGACTACTGCTACGAATAATAGTGATCCAGGATTCTGGACAGCCAGCGACGTTCCCATTTTAAAAACTTTCATAAAGTATTCGTAGCAGATAAACACCGTCCTATATTTTAATAAATTCTAGTTTGAAAGGGTTTAAGTTTAGTTTAATTTGTAATCGACAGGGTGCAATTGATCTTCATTACGCAGCATTTAAAAGAATCTTAAAAGGCGGTCGAGAGTCGTGGGTTAAAAAAGTGACTTGTCTTTTGAGATTTTGCTATCTGAAGAGCCTTTTCATCATAAGAACTCTAACATCAATGTTTTATGAGTTCCTCGGGTTCTTTTTGTAATGAAATTCACGCTTTCCTGGCAAAACACAATGACAGATGTTTCAGTCAATATTTGGCCGCCATATTGGTAACCCTCAGAGGTGACAACAATATGGCGTCTCAATACAAAGCTTTATCAGCTTTATAACTTTGAGTACAGAACATTTCTCCGAGTATCTCACATGTGAAATTTCACACAGATGAGATTTTTGGCGAGGCTAATTGCATATTTATCTTCTTTCAATTAAACTTTATCCGTTCGATCAGTTTTATGGTTCTCACACACGTATACTAATATCTTATAAAGTTCACCTACCGCCAGATTGTTGAGCTGATAATCCAATGCTTCCACAAATAACTAGAAAGATGAATGTACTATCCAAACTGTAGCGGTGTAAGCAAGTCATTCCTGGAGTTGCATGGTTTATGTCCATTTACACAGATTTTCTCACGAACGCACTGCGTTTATTTTATGGATTGTGCGGCAATAACAGCGGATGATGAATAATATTTACAAGTCGTAATCCCGGATACCGTGATAAAGCACAGTATAGCATAAAGGGGCATACTTAAAGAGTATTTATAAACAGCGACCACTGATAATAATGAAGCGGAAATGGCCGAAGAGCAGCACGCATGCTCAAATTACCCCTTTCAATCATCTCAGTTCTGTGAAGGGAATGCTACCAGTTAGTCTTGTGTCCCTCCTTCGTGATTGACGCGCCCTGTGCCGAGTTTCCATGCTAGTGGGTGAAGGAGGACAGACAGACTAAAATCAGTGCTGGATTCTCATCCATAACATGCGTCACTGATGCGTTGATTTCGTGATCCCCTCAACAAATTAACTGTCAAGTAGCTATTTCTCGATATTTTTGTCTGAGTTTTAAAGCCTGTCTTCAGGATTCATCTTCAAATAACCTCTTCAGTTTCCGTCATCTTGATTTTACAAAATAACATTTAACAAAGGACATTTTCAGCCTGCAAAAATGAACTGAAATTAATGCCACGAGTCAAAGACAAAAAACATGGTTAGAGAAGTCATTCTTTGAAGAATTTATCTGAAAAAGCCCAGACCCAAATGTTTGCCCATGAAATTCGAATTACAACAGATTCCTAAGGGTTTTTCCACTTAACTCAGTAAAATAACAGACATAATTCAAGGGTGACTAAATCTGTCAGGAATCCGAGCTTATTTTCTAAAACAATCGTTTGAACTTTAATTCAGTTATAGCGAAGCGAAGGTACCTTACATATCCTATCACAAGGACGCTTAATTCTTTGGTAGGTTGACTTTTTCTGGGCCTAATACATGCCTGCTGAAAGTTCGCAAGCTCCGTGAGTATCATTCCTCTAACTCGCACCGAGAAAGCAAAGCACGAAAGTTGCTAGGATCACGGAAGATTCATCTTTGGCAGCCACATTTGGAAATCAAATTAGGCGTTGGAATGACTCAGTATTCTGGAATAAAAATACATTTTGGTTTCTTTTGAATAGTCTATATCATGTTCAGGAAAATTCTGTTTCCCTGTGAAGATATTTTACCTTGCGTTTAGGAAGTTAACATATTTAACAAAAAATAAACCTCGGTGAAGGTTTTATGCCAAACTATTTCTTCTCTGCTCCACTGAATGGTCTTTCTGCCGTGTCAGCCTCCTTTTCCTCGTTTAAACGCTGACGACGACGTCCGCCATTTTATTAGTTGTTATGAAAACCAGAGCGATATGAGGAAAATTACGATATTATTCCTATATTGGTTCAAGCATTCTGCTCTCTGGGAGCAGAATACTCAAATTATTATTACTCGAATTATTCTTCAATAGGCCTCACTCAGAATATAAGGTATTGTAAGGAGTGCACCCTTACAATAAATGGCCTATTTTATATATGTTACATTTGAATGTAATACATATTTACTAAGATACTGTTAAGATTCTATATTCGCATTACATTGCAGTAAATAACAAGCCAACAATATCAAAGATATTAACGCATGCAAGACTCTTGAACCAATAACAGTTCAGTACCGCTTATTTCCCTTTAAAAATCAGACAATTTAAAGCGGTCTGGATTATACAAGATTTTCCCAGTGAAACTGTATTTAGTGTTCTTCTTCTAATGGAAGGGATGCAGGTGCAACTGTGCTAGCTGAGTGAAAGTTTTTCTGTCCTGTTTGTTCTGTTAATTTGTTTTTTTCTTTTCTGTTCATGTACATTTAGAAAGCAGTTAATCGTATTAAGGTCCAGAAATCACAAAAAGCACTGAATCGTGGTCAGCTGCCCGGATTTTAGAATCAGACCGTGTGTGATGTTAAAAATTAGAAAAGATATGTCACTTGAGTCATTATCATGTTTTCGGCTCCACTCCCGAGCACGCAAGTTAATTAAACCAGGAGCACGGGCTCATGATTAAACAGGACTCCTGCTCCGGAAATTCCTCCCGAAAAAGCAAATACCCGGCAAACTGTAGATTGCTTCTAGGATTGCTCGTTCAATATATAGGTCTATTTATCATAGAATTTTCTTATTTTCTCTTGTACCCGCCTCGAATAGCCCTCGCTAGGTGCGGGCGTAAGCTTTAATTTGTAAGTTATACTAATTTGAAATAAACTTGTCGATAGCCGTAAATAGGGTAAAAAAGAGTTAACCGTAAATGAAGTTACATGTCAGTGGTGTGAGCGTATGTATCTTTGTGGCTTTGTGTCTTTGTATCTTTGTAACTTTGTATCTTTGTATGTTCGGATGTTTGTTGCAAGAGCCAATAAGGTTGAAGGTACTATGAGTTGATGCTTAGGAACCAATGAGATCTTGGCATCTATTTAAACATGGCTTTGCTAAAGGTCGAACAAGGGCACTTAGAGACCGCCATCTTGATTCTTCACAATTTTTTCGTCTTTTACGGCTACAGGTGTTTGGAAGAATTACATTAAATATCTTCATGATTCAAACGCTGTGTACAGTGATGCAGCTGTTTGAGGGTTCATATTTTAGTGTGGGTGCTGTTTCAAGGCATTTCTGACCTAATTCGGCTATCGGTACAACGCACGTCAGTATGAGTTTTGTTTCACCTGCTACAACTGGGTAGAGTATAAAAGATCATATATTTCCAAAGCTCTTCCACTGAAGCAATAATTGATATTTAGATATAGACCTTAATTCGAAAGTATGCGCCCTATGAAATGTGGTTTTACAAGTTTAAAAGGCAGCTTATTTTTTTTGAAAGCTGTACCGAGTATTGTTAATCCTGTAAACAAGCTTTAAAAATATCATTCTCTGGCTTACAAAGTTCAACAGACCTTTTTCGTTCTGGAAAAACAACAAAAAAAAGAACAATAAGTGAACAACATGATACATCCTTCCTGCATACTTAACAATTAATGAATGAGGCTGAGTATCTTATGAAGAATTATGGAGATCGAGGAGGGTGTTATCCGTCGAGGCCGTAGGCCGAGGCGGATAACACCCTCCGAGATATCCATAATTCTTCATATGATACGAAAGCCGAATTCAATAATTGTTTTATTATTCATTCAAAATAATTCCTACTTTAAAAACATGGCTAAAACATGCTAACCTCCATCGATCCATCGATGTTAAGTTCATCTTCGATAGTGCACGTTTAGGTTTGTCCAACTCCGCAAATATTCTCCAAATACCAGATGTCGCCCTTCGAGTTGTCTTCTTGCTGTTCTTGCCATGTTTTTAGCTATGTTTTCGCCTAGTTCTTACTCTTGAAAAGAGTAAAATGTCCGCCATTTTTCAAGTTCACAATCAAAACAACTCAACCTCGTCCCCAGGTCTTCTCAGTTAACGGTGCCTTAATCTGCGAAAACGCTGCATTTTTGACGTCATTTCCCCGTTAAACACAAAATTCTTCCAAATTTGGTCATCAGTAACTGGTTATGGGGAATTACACGAGTGCTTTTAGATAATCAGAATCGGGAAAATATTTTGAATGAATAATAATAAGTATTATAGTTACTGAAAAGTATTTTATTTAGTAAAGATGCGTAACTTAAGTAGAAACAGTAGCGTAAGGGAATAAAATTGGAAGAAGCTAGTTGATACAATAATTAGATACTGTTGTATTGAGTGGAGTAACATGATATAAGTAGAAATATATTGCGGCAGTTTGATAATTTTCTAGGAAGTTAATAAATGTTAGGCTATCAATTGCAACCTTGACGTTGCACGAAACAAAACAAAACAATTTGCCTTTTTTTTACGTACGAATTGTAAAAGGGCCAAAGACCAACATCTTCACATGCAAATTGTGTGCATGAGTTATTTTTATAATTCTGTTCACTAGGTTACTGTGTGATAACTCGAATTCCCTCACGTACGAACCACGAAAGGGGGCAAAGTCCAACCCTTTTACGTGCCAGCTGTGTGACAGTACATATTCATGCAGATTGGCTTTTCACAATAATAATAGTGACTTGGACGTATGAAGACCTGTTTCGTTTAGTAACCAATGCCTTAAAAAAGGCTCTTGTCTTTTAAGAAGCAATATCTTTTAAAACATGAAGAAATAAGCGGTCGGAGTTAAAGACTGTTTCACTGAGTAGAATCGCACGTGAAAACCTCGTGAATTATGATGATGCGACCATCTACCACAACGATAAAAATCCTGGTATTTCGTAGCTATTATAGATCAGTATTCGATGAGTCACATTTTGGCTTAAGAAACTCCGAGGAAACCTTAGAGTTTTCCTTCTAATCAACGTTCGGTGAGTAGAAATTTATTTTACTTTAACAAAGTGTTTAACTTACACCAGATGTAACAGGGAAAGACAGAGGAAAGTGAATATATAGCTTGAGGATCGACTCAGCGGAGCGTTTTCATTTATGTACCGCAATACCCAATTTCGCACAAAACCCAATCTACATTTAGGATGAAAAAGATAGATTCATCACTCTTGGTAACGTTACACCGAAGCATTAAAGTTACACTGAAGCATTCAAAATAGCTCATGCTCGTTTAACGTGCCTTTGTTTTTAAGGAAGGTGCTAAACCCACTTATGGTTGCGTTATTTATTTCCCGTCTACTTTGACTCCGTACGCACGTTAGGCCAAGCGGTTTTTAGTTGTGACCTAGACTTAGGCTCCATTTCCGCCACTCTCTCGGGGAACTAATTTTTTCCATAGCGAAAATCTGCTTCTTGCTGGGGATTAAAATTTACGATTTTCAGGAGGTCGTGCCTTCGAAATACTAGTGAAAGAACACCCAGAGATGTCACTGTTTGTAAAACTGTCACTTTGCCGATAAACAACAATCCCTACGACAAATCCCTGTTTTTCTATGACGCTACGATATACATTGCCGCCTAGTCCCTGTACGGTGTCTTTCCACGCAGTCTCAAGGCATTTCGGTGGCGTATCTGGGAAAAAAAACTCGCTCGGACCACGTGACCCGAAACGCATTAGCCGCGCGGAATAATGAGGCCTATGGACAAGCCAACGGCAGACAGTCGTTCTGTACAGTCCTTCGCTATCATTTAAAACACTGGACACGGGAATTTTTTCATTGGCCGTTTTCAAACTGCAGCTAGAAATGGATTATCCGTCTGAGACTGGCCTGTGTACAGTCGCTCCCTCCCCCACAGGCACCTCTTCTTCGATTTTTTCTGAAAGGAGGGGGCGGCTGTACACAGGCTGTCTTAAACGGAAAATCTGAACGGATAAACTGTCCGTCAAAATTGACGGATAAAGTCAGGCGGATTGTTCATTCAAAATTAAAACCATTCCATTTTCAAATTAAGACGTATTACCTATCTGATGCGAATTATCAAACGGATAACCCATCTCAGACGAATAATCCGTCTCTAGTATGAAAACGGCCATTTCTGTTATAAATGAATGTCGCGACCCGGCCTTGAGTTGGGCGTTCGCGTGTATGCTTTTGCTTTTTCCCAAATAATATTTTTAAATTGACTATTGACATTTCTATGCGTAAAATAATATTAGAAATGGAATACTTTATCAAAAGATGATCTATCAAATGTTAAAATTTTTCAAAAAGAATAGCTTCAGATTATCCCGAGATGATCCCAAGACCTTTATTTTGCTTTGAAGATACAAAAAATACAGGTTTATTAATATTTAACTCTTTGAAACAAAAGAAATTAATTTTTAACTTTTTTGTCAACCGTAACTGAAAAAAAATAACCGATAGCCGTAAAAGAGCCAAAATTTTAGCCGATAACCGTAAAAAGACATCACCCCATTGAGGCCCTCAGGAAAGTACTTAGAGTTGAAATATACAGTCATACAGTCAATATTATAGAAAAAATCTCGATTTGCTTGAACATGGGCTGCGAGGAATCGGTAAGTAATGATGACGTTTCTATTGTTTGCGCCCGCAAATACGAAATGGTTACCGCTTAGGTAGATTTTGTGACATTTATTGTGCAGTTATACTTCGATACTCTTTTGCGTTACGTGTTATCAGTGACGTTCTGTGGTGGAGCAGTTGTTTTGAACGTTATGGACCAAAAGACACTCGTTAAGCGCAAGTTATAAGGTGCGTATAACTGTGTATATATAAACACTTGGAGAGTTTGCCAGACACGAGTTCACAAATCTTTGATTGGAAACCTTGCCAGACACTCTTTCTCTCTCTTTGACCGGTCAGCCCCTGCAGCCCCAAACAAGCAAGACGAGTGAACAACGGCTAGCTTATCACCAGCAGAACGATGGACGATTACAGAAATTCGCCGACAATCAAATTCTGTGCTGACTTATTCCCTGCTCACAGATGTCCTTTCGCTGTAAAGTTTAAAAATAAGACTAGAATGCGTGAGCGTGAATTGATCAAACGTCCTTTTAACTACTTTCCGGCAAATAAAATGAACTGAATGTAAAAAGTGAAAGAGAAATAGAGAAGAATTCAACTTCTAATTAAATCTTTTCTTATGGTTTAGAATAAACTATTCTCGAAACTGAGAATGTTTTGATCAAAGCTGTGTAAATCGAACTGAAACTGTGCATGGAACCTTCTGTAGTGTCAACTATTACTAGTATATTCCACTACATGCTATGGCTCCCGTGACTCGTGCATTACTGCAGGCTAAAAGATTGTATTTCTATTACGGGATTAATTTTTCCGGCAAGGTTATTAGTCTAAGGAGCTGCCTACATGGTCTTAAGTTGGTAATATTAGATGAGTCTATTACAGAAAAATTGAAGGAGCTACCTACTGTACATGATCGTAAGTTGGTCACATGCATTCAACGCTGAGGATTTTAAAAAGAGGGTCCTTAAAGTCTAATTGAGGTCTGGTAGCACCACGTACTCATTCAGCACGTCATATCTTGGTCGAAGAGACCCGATGTCATGGGAGGAACTGGTCCTCGCATTGGCTCTAGATCTCTTTTTCAGCTTCCTCATTTTCATGCATAACCAAACAGATGCTGTTACCATAGCAGCAAACACGGCTATTGAAACGCCGAGCAAGATCCAGGAGACCTGGTCCATAATCACGGGATCGTCTGATTCACTACCAGTGCCTTTTGGCTCAAGAGGGTTTGCTAATGGATAAAACAAACACAGCAGAAAGCGGGTTTAAAACAAACTAACATTCTCGAATTCATATGTAAACTTATAAATTCTTTTCTTCTGTCTCTGGATGAAATTCAGTGACAACATTTGATTATGTAGTTATTCTGCACACACACACACACAAAAACATTTCTTGCTAACCGCCCAAGTTTCAGGAGGTGTTTGTGTTGTTCTTTGAGATATTTCCTTGCCCGAGGACTGTTTTAAAATAAAATAAAACCTAGTTATATAAAAATTAAGTAACGTAATATATACTCGGTGGATAAAGCTTTAAGCAACCCACCATAGGTTGCTTCTAATTCTAATGCCGTGGGACTACAAGTTGAAATTTTTCCAGATTTATAGTTGGGTCTCAATTGGAAAACATCAACGTCATTTCAAGTTGTAAGAGCTTTTAAACGGCATATCCAGTTTAGATTCTACTCAAAGCCATAGCAGATGTTTCTCTGGTGAGGTGAGGTATTCACGATAACAAACCACCGCCCAAGGAGGAGGAAGTACTGGTGATTTGTTAGCAAGACTGGAAAAAAAAATTGTTTCGTTCTTATGAAATTTGTTTGGTAATTTCTTAGTTCCTTTAACACTTTGACGACTGCTTTGGTCGTTTTCGTTCCATATGAAACGATGCATATGCTCCTTCCTGGACCCATTTAGCGTTCAGTTTAAGCTAATAAGTTGCCAAGCAACAATGTGAGCAAAGATATACATTTCCACCGATACCTCGTTTTGGATATTCTGACCAATCCTTACTATACAATGTTACACTCACAAAAAAAGTAAGATTTTGGGGAAAATCCACTGCTTTTACCTTGCTACTACTCTTTGAAGATTAAATTTGCCCCCTTCCTAAAGAGTTAGCTAGCCACAATTCCATGCGAAAGAAAGACGATAGAGTGAGCCACAAAACAGCTGCTTATTAAGAAAACTAGACAAAGGAAAAAAAGAGAGCGAGAAAAGAAAAATAGCTGCTTTTAAGCAGCTATTTTTTTTCTTAATTTAATTAAAATTAAAGTTAATTAAAGTTAATTAAAATTAAATCCGATTAGTGGGAAAATATGCTCTTTTTGTTGCAAAACCCATTTTAGCCATTCCCATGTTTATTTTGGCCGAAAACCAGTTGAAACATTAGGAAGTGGTAAGAAATGCAGTTTTTTCGCTACTCTCTGGCAGTCACAAAAGGGATAACCATACACAAATGATCCGTACAACTGCAAAGAAGATATCGAACAATTTTCGTAAAGAAGCACTAACCACCATAATTGTTTTAATAATTGGTGATTTTTTGCAGGCATTGCATCAAACTTGAAGAGGTTGGCCCAAATTTTTAAAGTATTAATCCATGTCCATCCTTTCCATCCGTTGCAACAGACGACAGGAAACAGTTTCGATGGCTAAATATGGTCGTAAATAACAAAACTAGACCATTTTTTTTGAAATTCAATTGATGCGAGAAACGATTTGCTTCTAAAAAAGACAGCAAATAGTCTGACATGGCCCCTTTAATGGCCTTACCTCTGTCACTTGGCAACGCTCTTGTGGGTCTCACATATCTGCTAAGGAATGCGCTGTTGTATTCTGCTCCGAATTGATTGCTCGCGTAACAGGTGTAAAGTCCAAAATCTTCTTCTGTCACATTACTAATTTTCAACTCGGATTCATAACTGTCATCTCGTTGGATAGTCCTGTAATACTTTAGATCTATCACCTGAAATGCTCCATCTTCCAAGTTATCCTCCATGTTTGACACAAATGTGATAGACTTGTCCCATTTCAGCCATCTAAAATCCGGAAGTGTCCCACTTACAACCACAAGGCATTTCATCGTTACACTTTCTCCAACCTGTGCACTTTCGTTCCTTGGAAGATCTTTCCGCAAAATGGGTCTTGTTTGTGGTTTAGCTATTAGAAAGATGACGAGAGTTAGCCCTATGCGGCCTACATGAAATGATTCCAAGAAAATAAGAAAACTAGATAAAGATTAGACCATCCTCTCCTCACTGTCTCATGTACTCACCCAGAACCCTGACCGAGTATGTATGGTTTATACTGCCATATGGATTGGACACTATACAAGTGTACTTCCCAGCGTCTCCAGGTATTAGGTCTATTAGTTTCAAGTACCAAATTGAAGTGTTCAGGTATGGGTCCAACCTTCTCCCTCTTAAAATCTTCCCGTCTTTAAGCCAGGTGTATTTAAGAGGTGCTGCTCCCATTGCCTTACACGTTAACATGACTGAGTGACTTGCTGGCCATGCTTTGAAAGCTCTTTTTAAGGTATCTGGATCAGAAAATGTGGGTGGATCTCCTATATGGGAAGGAATTTTTATAGTGACTTGAAAGGTCAGTAAATCAGAGTATCTAATCTAAATTATCAATTGGAAAAAATGCACTCTATTTGAGTATCAACATATGTAGTACTAAAGTACTAATTGTGGACACTGTTGTTACGTCTCCTAGCTACTGAAGACGGGACCGCCATTTCCCGTGCTCATCCGAGCGGCGCAAAAGGTCTTAGGGGGCAAGGGAAGCCGGTACCTTCAGTTATTTTGAGATTCTGAGTATTGGTCCGGCCTCGGGAATTGAACACGCAACCTCCCGCTCTGGTAGCTGTCAACCGCTCTACCGACTGAGCTAATCCTGCTGCGGTCATTATTATATCGGGTTGGGTTGTATTTAGCAACTGGCCTCCTTTGCTTTTCAGCAGCACAAAACGATCGACTCTTTTTTCTTCTGGAGTTTGTTCAACTTGTTATGATCATCACAAGTTATTAAAAGAAACTCCATACCAATGAAAAAAGAAAAGGATCGGATCGCAGAATCAAGGACGTTCAACTTGTAAGATACCCTGCAAGAGAGCCTGTCTTTTACTTTCTCAATTTTGGCGTATTCGAGAAAGACCCTGCATGAATTGAATAAGATCTTTGTTGAAAATGTGCTACTTGTTGCTGGAATACTCCAACTCAGGTCTAACAGCTATGCGGTTGGATACTAAAACGTTTGGAAAACAAAGTTGTATGAGAGGAAACAAGATTGTGTACAGTACAAATCCGCGAGTAAGAGCCTGGTTTTTAAGAACCTGGTAGGCTAAAATTTGCCATTAAGGCCCCCTCTAAACAAGAACCTGTTTAGCCTAAAATTAAAAACAGGTTCTTATTTTTTAAAATATACATTAAAACAATTCTGAACACTCGGGCAAAAGCACTTCAAAATTCACGAGGTCAGTGCTTCAGTTCTTTTTCTCATGGTCATTTTTACATAAACACTAAATATATGTAGTATGCACATTTTATATATTGAGGAATAAGCTGAATACCACTAAATACTCATAGCTAATAAACCATACTTTTTTCTTTAGAAAATAAGGACCTATTTAAGAACTTAATTTTTGACCTGTTATTGAGAGTGTTTCTATGATCACAACGCAGGGTCGATCTCGTACCTTTCGTATCCTTACCTCTCTCTTAGTCTCCCTCGCAGCCGGTTTTCGTGTCGTCACGCGAGGAGCGTTGCGTGACGACGTTAAAAACGGCTGCTAGGGAGATTACCCTCTCTCTTACTACTACACTACCACACCGACCGGCCAAAATTCCGGAAAACGGAAAATTTTTGTACCTAAACTAACAGACAGTTTTCTTAACTGATACATCATTAACAGGTGATCCTTCAATTTTCCTAACTATTAAAGTAAATCCACCTTAGGCTTCAAGGTCGTTCTTTCTAGGACTATTCAAAAACGTATTATTTGCCTTATATATTGTAACTTAACCCAGGGAATATTATAAAAGTATCCCCCGAGGGGAAGGTGAATAGTGGTGGGTGGTATTATACCGAGGCGCGAACCGTCGAGGTATATATCTAGCGCTGTTCACCGACCCTGAGGGGGATAGTTGTTTTAGTATTTACCAAATCAGTTGAAACTGAAAAAAAGGAACTTTTTGTAAATTAAAAACGTCACTTAGTAGGAACTTTGTTTACAATTTACAAACATTTCAGGGATTTGTCAAGTGCATTTTAGCGGAGATCTTCGCGCGCGCGAGCGGAGCCCCGTAGTAGCTAAGAAAATTTGGTAAACCAGCCATTCGAGAAAAGCATCCAACTGATTTGTGGACTGAGAAAACAAGTTTATTGTTTGATTTAAATTATACATTAAATTATTCTGGACCTACCCTTTTAGCCCTGGCTAAATCTATATATTACGATTTTGTTGCAAATTCAGCATGAAAATAATTTTCTACCTACCAATGAACACCGACAAGCCAAAGTCTGTCGCTTTCTTGGTATTTGTTTGTACGACTCCTTCATTTATCGCACAAATTCCGTCTTCCGAAATGTCTCGAAACTGGACGCCATCTTGGCTCCGGTCGCAAAACAGAGAATAGCCAGGGATAGTCCGAGTTACGGGAGCCAATCAAAACGCGCGGAAATCGCTATTCACTGATTTGGTAAATACTAAATTACATCTATCATGACTAAAGGCTTGGTTACCGATGGTGGCATGGCAAAGACCGTGTGCGAAAGGGAAATAGGCTTCAGGGCGGCGACCACTCAAAAAATGTCATTTTGTCCTCCTCACTCAACAAGACAAAGGCAGGCACTGCCCGCAGGGTACTTGCTATAAATATATTTATAGAAGATGGCATACAACCATAAAGCTGAAACTTTAATACCTGTATCGCAGCGATCTCCTCTCCAACCAGATAAGCATACTTTATTTCCATTCTTATCGCATGTGTAATGCCCAGAGTTGTCGTTTCGGGCCCGACAGAATTTTTTACAACGATTTCCATAATAGTCAGCATCACAGATCACTCTGATCTTGTAGCTGATGGTGACAACAGAACTATTATATGCGTGCGATTCCCATTCGTAGTTTGAAAGTAATGTCCCTCTCTGTACAACTCTGTCGATTAATTCACTGTTACCTAATATGTGAATAACAAATAAAAATTATGATTAAATAACGAAATAAATAGATTGTTTGAAAGGATGTCAAAGTGCTGTGAGGCGGAAAGGACTGTTTTGCCTGACGAAACTTCATAAGGTGGATACCGTATTTTTATGCCAATAATATATGTTCATAACTTACTAGTAATTGCCTCTTAATATTCAATAAATGTTGATTGCCTTTGCACTAAACATTATAGAGAAAGTTATTAAAGATATAATGTTCAATTTATATTCCTTGCCTTGTTTCCAAGAAATTTACATTGAACATAGACAAAATTAAGTTATTCCGCGTAGAGAACAATAGTTAGTGCTTCATAAACATAAACATTCAGACGGCCTGTGAATACCAGCTAGGCGCCAAACAAGCCACTGGAAACCTTCGGGCAAAAACTTACTCGAATTGTCTGCGTCCCTTGCCTCCAAAACTAAGGAATACGCAGCCTGCAATAAACAATTTTAATAGCGTTCGTTAAGTTATCTCGCGGAGGGGCGGGGGGGCACTCAAGAGACTATCGGGTAGAGGTGTGGCGCCGAGGCCTTCACCGAAACCCTGACCATGTTTAAAACAAATCGTTCATAGGACTCAATTGGGTAATTAACTTATAAACGGGAAGGCAAAGTGCCAGATTATTCTAATAACCAAAGAAAAAGAGCCATTCTCTAAAATTGAGCTGCGTACCACCGGCTGAACGGTTCTAAACTAAGGACAGACGGCATAGACATACCCTCCACAAGCTTGAGAGGTGAATAGAAATCGGATTGCGAAATCCATTATTCGGCGATGAAGTCTTCGTGAAAGAGAACGAACTTCTTCTTAGAACGACGGTTGTAAACTCGCCGTACATGCAAGGACTAGTCGACGAATCATGTTGCGTGTTTTGCTTGTTTAGACAAACTCTGAAGAATGTGTCGCATTCGTCACGGCACACGCTTTGTTCATGATGTATCGTGCGCCTCCCATCAAGCAGGGATCATTAAGTAGATTTGAAAAGATCCCGATCCACTTACAGTCTGCAAAAGAGAATCTCACTGAATCTTTCCCGAAAGCCTAAAATTCAAAGTGCAGGAAAAGGCTTTACACATTGCATGGTTTTTCCGTACCTGCTTATGAATGAAGAGGAGTACTGCAACAAAACAAATTAAACTTTTCGAGAGATGGACCGAAGCCATCGCTAAAATGTGAATGTTCCCGGCAGAGGTCAAGGAATTAAAGCTATTAAATATACTGACGCACTTCCTCTTCCTGATTGACGTGCCCTTTTCTTCTGAGTTTATTCTAATCTGCGATCAGGCGTTCCTTCTTCCGGGGATAGTGAGAAATTCGTCTAGCAAAGAAAAAGGGAAGAAGGACACCTGATCGTCTGATCGTAAGCGGGTTAATTATAAGTTTATTTCTATGTGTGGTACATTAAAATGTTGGACCCGGGCTTGGATGCATTTGCTTATCAAACCAGTTTCACTTTTAGGGAAAATCCTGGGAAAATAAGTTTAGGATGTATCTAACGTTCAACTTCTTGGCGCGGTTCCATTTCTCCGTCTCTTATTCAGCGAGCGTGAAAGGGACTGTCGCGAATAGTATGCTATTCGCGCCAGTCCCTTGCAACGCGAGTATAAATAAGAGCTCCGCATCTCATTTCTGCCCAGTTCGCGTAAGAATCCTTTGGCTGCTGGCAGCCGTGATTTGTTTGTCTCTCCCCTTCACGTATCGCACCTTATGAGGCCGCGCTTCTTTTTTCCCTCCCTCCCTTCCCTGTCCTTTCCACCTCCAACTCACTCAAGCGCGGTTCCATTTCTCCGTCTCTTATTAAGCGAGCGTCAAAGGGACTGTCGCGAATAGTATGCTGTATGCACTCCAAAAAGTCATGTGATTGTCGTACTAGTATCAATAGTTATTTCGATTGTTAGTGAAGACTAAGGTTACAAGAGATATCACTGAATTAAATGAATGATAGATACATGGAAAAAGCACCTTGGGAGAACGCAAGAGGTCTAGAAACAAGTAAGTATTCCGTGCAGCATTTCTGTTAAAATATCAACATGGTCGTATTATTTTCGAATCTTTAGTATCACAGGCTGCCTTCCAGACCTTGGAAGAATCGACAGTAAAAAGTAGGTCATGGACTTTCATTGGTAAAATTCAAAATTACAAGATATAATTTGAATGAAGTTGTTGAGCGAACCAGGATAAAACAACTGACATGAAAATCACAATTACTTTTCTCCAATTTATTTCAAATATGTCTCGAAACGAAGTGAATACAGTTTGCAAGACTTTTATTAAAGCCTCATTTTGGCTCCCATCCCCCGCCCTGTGTTTAAGATAAGTAATGTCTTCCCTTCCTTCAATCTTCCCTAATGAGCAAGATTAATAAAAGTCAATGTCAACTTTTTTTTCCGGATGGAACATAAAACATCAGTCACGCCAAGAGTAGCCTGTACACACACGTTGTTTTATTTTTGTTTCCGTTCTTTTGGAAAACATCGGCGAGCGCGAGAGCGAGGCGAGTACGCGGGCGAAGCGAGCGCGCAACGCGAGAAAGAAAAATAATTTTTTATCACGCGCGGTCGACGGACTTTTGAAGAGAAAATAGAGGGTCCGTTAACAGGCTAACCAAGAGTCACAAACACACCAGTTCAAAACTTTGTAGTCAACTTAAAAGTGGACCACAAGTGCTGTGATTCGGTTGATGATATAAACTGTTATTTTCTTTTTGGATTCGTGCTTTATTCTCCCTTTTAGCAGTTTCACTATATAAAAGGGACCTGATTCCGCAAACAATGGTCGGTCATACAATTTGTGAGCAATGCTTTGTTCCTGAAAAAACCGGCTATCTGATGGCATCCCGTGTTTCTTAATCTAGCGGATACAAGGAATGAAAAGGGGCAGTTGATTAGGAAACTGTTCCAGCTACTAATTTTAAAAACATACCCAACATATGTACAATCAAAAGTTCCAACCAACAATCGACAATTAACAGGGAGGATGAATTACTTCAATATTATTGACATTATTAGACGCTTTGAAGTTTCTTATATGTGCACGAGCAGGAAAATCAAAGGTGGTAAAATATGCAAAAAACAAACCTTATAATAGTTATAACCTTAAATCGACGTATCGCTGAATCACCCATAACGCAGTTTTTCATCAGTGAAGCTAACATTACGAGACCAAGTCATGGAATCTTCGTTGTTATTGTACCACATATCACACATTAAAGGTCAAAATAGCAGACTCAAACGAGCGACTGCTGGGACAGTCAGGGGCACCAGATCAGAGATATAGAGCCCAATAATTTATCTTCAAGATCATACAAACAATAAAGAATAAAAATCATAACTCTGCGAAAAACGAGCACTTTAACATACCGCTCTTAGTTAAGAGAGAGCGTCGTTCGGAAGATCTTTACTGGTTAGAACACGAAGAAAAAAATGTACTCAGCACCTCCTTTACTCACCACCTTACCTTCAAAAATCCTTCACGCCCTCAAAGTGTAACATCGTAGCAATCCAACTGTAACATTGCTGGGATTAAGACTTTTCGAGGAACGGAAAAAAGGTAAATTAATCTAGTCGACAGTTATCAAAGGTGTCCGTTGACAAGATCAAGATCGGCCAAGCTGAGGTATCGCCTGCCTCTTCAGTGCGCAATCTGGGCACCTGGTTCGATTCTCATCTGGACATGTCGACTCATGTGACTAAGACTTGTGCTAGCGCGTTTTATTATTTGTACAATATCCGGCACATTAGGAAGTATTTGTCCCGCGAGTCCACCGAGAGGCTTGTTCACGCGTTCATCTCAAGCAGGCTTGACTACTGTAATGGTTTATTGTACGGTGCTCCTGAGTATCAAATTAAGAAACTTCAAAGAGTCATGAATGCCAGTGCTCGATTGGTTTACTGCGCATCTAAGTATTGTCACGTTACTCCTTTGCTAAGAGAACTCCACTGGCTACCAGCGCGCTTGCGTGTAGATTTTAAGATTCTCCTTGTTACATTTAAGATTCTTAACGGTGTTGCGCCTAGCTATCTTAAAGATCTTGTCTCTGTCTTACCGGACTCACGTTACCAACTACGCGGCAACAATAATGGTATATTGTTAGAAAGACCTCGGCTAAGAACGAAGAGGACTTTGGGAGATCGCGCGTTATCGATGGCTGCCCCCTTTTTATGGAACAGTCTTCCTCTGCCAATAAGACAGGAAACATCGATCGTCTCTTTTAAACGCTCTGTTAAAACATATTTATTTAAAAAGGCTTTTAGTTAGATTATTTATTTATTTATTTTATTTATTTATTTATTTAAATATTGTAATTTTATCGGGTAATTTTACTGGTTTTTAATTTATTTATTAATAATATTGTAATGCGCTTTTGAGTATTTTTATAGAAAACGCGCAACATAAGTATTAAATATTATTATTATTATTATTATTATTATTATTAAATTGAGCCGAACGAAGTTCTTACTCAGTTTTCTTGTGTCCGCCATAAGCATTTCATTGGTCACAAATATTCACGTGACAACTGTCGTAGCTCCTCTAAGGCCAACCACACGACCTCCATTTTGAAATCTATCAAAACAGGCTTAACTCCGACTCTGTGATTTGTACAGCTTTTTCTGTCAAGTACGGAAAGATGAGCACCACAAACATCAATTCAACCACTCTAAATGATTTCTCGGCCCCTTGGAAGTTCAGCGATGTGGTTCTCGTTGTTGAAGATCAGAAGTTCCACGTTCATCGAAGCACCCTGTCGTATTGGTCGCCTGTGTTTGAGAAGATGTTTACCTCAGAATTCAAGGAAAAGAATAACGAAGAAATCTCTCTACCAGGGAAGAAAGCAAGCGAAATCGAGCAGTTGCTACAAATAATGTATCCATCTATGGAGGAGAAGCCCGTGACAAAAAGCAACTGTTACTTCCTGTTTGAACTCGCTCATGAATATCAAATGGCATCTATTTCTCAAAAGTGCGAAGCATTCATGGTGTCCATGGTCAAAGCAAGACAGGAGGATGACGTTCTGGCAATGCTCATCTATGGGCAAAAGTACCAGCTAAAATCACTGATATCGACATGCATATATGAAGCACGGCGGTTATCACTACAGGAATTGAAACAGCACAAAAGGCGTGACGAGATCGAACCAGCCAACTATGCGCAAATCGCTGAGGGAATTATCCAGCGACTCGAGGCAACTGTCGAGAGGCACTGCACGGTGGAAAAGCAGATAAGAGAGGTTAAAGAAGAAAGTTTGAAATGTCTTCAAAACGTTAGCAAAAAGTTGCATCAACAGGCTTCTAATAAGAATTATGCAGTTTTTGGTTGCTTGCCAACACCAGTAGGCACTGATAGTTGGCTGTCTAATTTAAAGGTAGATTCATCCCTTAGTTATGTTGCTCAACAATTAATAAATCTAAAGAAGGCAATAGATACCCTGCCTTATGTCCTCCCTAAGTAACGATACAGTCTCTGTATAGCTTTATGGATGCCCATATACGAAATTTATTGCCAACCATCAACAAACGTAAAATCAGCCAAAAATTATGAATCGTTATTTTTTTTTTCTTTTTAATTCAATATGCTTTGTTTAATCTGCCCCTACTCTTATGTTAGTTAGTCATAGCTTATTTCTTTATTTTTCTGGTTTTTTATTTTACTTGTAGACCATTATGCATGCGACCTTTAATCTTAGTTTCATCTAGTTTCAGTTATATGTTGCGAAAATTATCAACCATGTGACGATTGTACTCGCTGAACACTACTGTAAGCTTGCCTTTGCTCAGTAAGCTAAATCTTAACTATACTACCCGCCTCGAATAGCTTTGCTAGCTGCGGACTGTGCTTATGAATGTCAAAAATTTGATATTACCAATAAAGTTCTGTTAATGATATATGAAACTGAAATCATATATGAATTGCGGAAATTTTACTGAAAATGAAGAAATGATCGTCGCAGTGAACGCAATTTATGCAATTGCGTAAAGAAGCCTGAAAAAAAAAAAAAAATTCAGGACTTCAACGGGGTCTAAACCCCACTGAAGTCCACTGAAGTCCTGAATTTTTTCAAGCTTCTTCACGCAATTGCATAAATTGCTTTCACTGCGACGATCATTTCTTCATTTTCAGTAAAGTTCTGTTGCTTTGTTTGTGATGCATCCCACTGCAGAGGAATATTCCTTATCGCGTAATTAATTTTGACACGTTATGATCATTTAGTTACAATGACGTTTACCAACAACATTTACTGAGATCTAGCACTCGAGACGTCCTACATCCTAGGCACAGGTAGCCTTGAAGCGATTAAGTATCTGTTCCAAAACGTGGGAATCGAAAACCCCGTGTATGTTTTTAGTTACTGCCGATGACTTGGTGGACACCTGAGTTTGTGTCTGTTGAATTGTTTAAGGTCCAAAAATACCCTAAAACAAGGAAAGTCCTGAAAAATTTTGAAAGTGACAGCTGAACCTAAGGTCTTGGAGAACTTAAAAAGGTCATGGAAAAAGTCATGGAATTTGAAGAGCTCAAAAGAGTACGACTGACCCTGTGATAGTAACAAAATGTAAGCTTATTGGAGTTGCTGTTTGCTTCGTCTGTAGCGATATATCTCTAAATATGTTCATGGATCCTAAATTAGTATAGGTAATAGCATGATTTGTAGTGATATTTGGCATAAATATCACTAGTGATATTTCGAAATTGTTATACGTAATTTGAGACAATTTTGAAATATCACGAGTGGTATTTATGCCAAATATCACGTACAAATCATGCTATTATTTGTTTATACTACTACCCGCAAAAGATTTGTAATTTTCACATGTAGGTATTTCAAATTAAGCTGAAATACCACTGCTCTAAACCAATCAAATTGCAGAAATTTCTCATGTAGTAGTATAAACGTTGTATTTCCTTATACCTGCGGTATATTGTCATCCTTTCGCCCGAGAAGCGGTTAATTTTGATCGATTATGGTAGATTTTGGCACACTTTCAGTTTGCCTTCTTTTACTACTTTTTCTGCAAGGCCGAAGATTTTTAAATCTAATACCCTTAAAAATATAAACTTAAAGGTATAAACGTAAAAGTTAACACTCCAGAAATACTTTAGTGAGAGAGCCCGTACTTAAAAGAGGTTAATTTTCCCCCAGAACATTCGTCAGATGGTCTTTTGTCCTGAGAATATTTTAAAAACAGTGAGAAATAGTTTGGATATAGCGATTTAAAAAATCATCCAAGTTTCGTTGTCCGGAAATGGTACGAGTAAGGCCCCTTCCACACGTAGCCGGATATTTTTGAATCCGCAACTTTTTCTTTCCGGATTCAAAAATTTCCCCGTCCACACGTATCCGTATTCAAATCGAATTTGCCCGTCAACACGTGTCCGATGTGTCCGACACATATCCGGGATTCACTTTAGTACCCAGGACTCCTCTGGGAATATTGGCTCTGGCAAACGTTAAATTGTAAAATCTGCTCTATACATGACACACTAAAGGTTTTGACCAATAAATAATAAATCACAGACTGCTGTCTTTGATTCTTTCCGCAAACTTGGACACAAAATCACGATTTCACAATTTGGTACAACTGTGGCTTAATGCACTGCCGTAAAGCGCGATTCGCCCAATAAAAAACAACTGTCCAAAACTTCCATCATCCCTCAATGTCTCTGTAAAACTTTATTTAAATCTCCTTTAAAACAGCCGAGATATGAACGTTTTAAAAGATGTAGCATAAGCAAAATTTGGCCTCATGAATATATTCATAGATAGGTGTACCCCGCGGCCTTTAATGATTGGTACTACTGATTCATGCATTTCCACTAAAAAAGTAATTAAACCAAATAATAAAGTGGTCTTTCTAGTTTGAAAATAATTTCCCTACCTACTCTCAAGAATGACACAAGTTTTCTGGACAATAGCTAGTCTCAAGAGCCGTGAGAGGATCCTCTCTTGCTAGTCTGTGTATGTTCAAGTGTTGTTACTCTTTTTAAAAACACCCGGAAATTGTTTTCCAGTGTATTTTCAGTAGGGAGTTTAAACAACAACGACGACGACCAGGGCAGTGAACTGAGTGAAAAAGTCGATAAACTAAAACATTAATTTGCCTCCTTTTAATTTTTATGGCTTCTATTTGTACCCTTAATTTGTCAAGTTTAGGTGATTTTTCCTGGAGTTGAATTCTTAAGGACCTTATCCATGTTCAAAAAGAGAAAGGAAAATTTGTCGTCGTATGTCCAAGTCCTCCCTGGAAAGTCGCATTAGAAGGTTTCACGTCGAAATCATGCAGTGGACTTCAAAGGAATGAGGTAAAAAGCGTAATGCATGTGCAGCGCAGTTGTTGTGCTCATAAAAGTCATTGCTTTTTGACTTGTCTTCGTCGTTATGGCTGCTTCAGCTCCCCAAGTAACATCAAACAGACGACGAAGGTCATGTCCATTTCACGCATTAAATATTTTCTTCCCTGTATAGCCCTGAAACAATAAAACGAGCATCATCAACACTTATGAAGCTGATAAGTAGTTCGGAAATAGCGAGTTGCAATCAATAAGCGCCTGCTTGGTTACACTGGGCAGTTTTTCTTGCAACTCTGACTGAAAATAGACCTTTTTTCATAGTTTCAAAAACTCTCAGTTTCAAAACAAGGCTAAGCGCAAAAATTGGGAAAATTAGTTTTATTTGCAGAAGAATAACAAATAATTTCACAACCAATAGCTTCGCACTAAGCCTCGCTTTGAAACACAGGCTTACTAGCGGAGCACCATAACTAAGATAATTTGATAAACTATCCATCCGAGAAATTTTGGTTATGACGTCAGCATCTGTCCGTAAGGACTTTCCGGGTAGTGGAAAGTAGTCCGCATGGACTGTTAAGGTAGGGGAAAGTAGAGATTTTTTGGCGGGAAATCGCATCGCGCAACGTCGCGCAATTATATCGCGCAACTGGTTTTGAAAAAGAAATTTCAAAGCAATTTAGCAAAAAGATTTTTCGACAGAGCCTTTATAACTTTTTATTACAACTTACGAAAGCTATTATGTCAACAAACAACAGCAGAGAGATTTTAGCGTGTAGACGACAGGTTTTAAGCGGAGAGCAAGAGTCAACACGCGTAGAGCAAGCGAAGACGATCGCCAAAGAGAACGCGTTAGAAGTAGAAGAAGAAGACAAAATTTTAGCGAAGAAAGTCGGCAAGTAGAAACAGTCAGGGCGCGAGGAAGGAGAGAAAATTATAGTGAAGAACGCCGGCAAGCAGAACGAGACAGAGCTAGAATGAATAGACAAAGGCAACGCGAAAGAGAAATACAAAGGCAAAGAGAACGGCAGCAAAATAATGACATGATAACAGAAGGTGTTGTGTTAATGTCACTATGGCCCCGCGCTATTAACATTTTGATTTCAAACTGATCTCGGAAGCGAAAATTCAGCCTGTCATTTAAAAATACAAGCAGGGAAGACAGAGGCTTTTCACTTTTCTCACCATAGTCACGCGTTGGTCACGCTCTACGTCCAATTTTTATGCTGTGATTGGTCAAAATTTTACAGGTGAGTTCATGCAGAAAATTTATACAGCATCTTGAAACTTGTTTACTTTGACAGCTGAAGCTTACAGAGTTTTTTGTCAACTTGTGATGTTTTTTACTGTCTTTTTCCACTGGATGCATAAAATGAAATACAGCTGTTATCAACAGTCTTCTGTTATTCATGGTTGGTTTGTTTATTGAATTTTTGGTTGAGAAATGCGCAGCTTGTCAGAGTCGGAAATCCGATTTCGGATGACATCGTTTTCGTTTTTCACCTTGCTGGATGCGTGTTGAAAAGCCCCTCAAGCGATGCTGGCCTCACTTGATAGCTTTCAAGAGCTGCATCTCGAATGGTAAGCCTGAGTAATTATTGTCTATGTGTTTGTTTGTTTGTTTGTTTTTTTATATATATATGTCTAATATCATAGGTGACGAATTACTCCTTAATTTTGGCGCGAAATTTCAGCGTTAATTTGTAATTTCACATGTGAAATTACAAAATTGCCATGGCAAGCTAACGTACGTCTCAGTGTCAAGATGGCGACGAAGTTTTAAAATGTCATGAATGAAGATGTCAGGGCAGAAAAAGACGCTTTAGAAAACCTGAATACACGAAGGAGCACATCAAGAAGGATTCCAACAGGTATTTTGCGAAAAACTCTGAACTTAAGCCAAATTTAAGCTCTAAACGTTCGAGAGAGAGCAGGAGTTCTCGATCGATGCGATGCAGGATAAACATGTCAAAAATCCAAGATAGCTAAGGTAATTCGTCACCCATGATATTTTAAATAGGTAATCAAAATGGTATAGTCGTGAAATTAGGGAATAATTTCACTTGCGTTTTGTCCAAATCCTAATAATTTCCCGAGCCTTTGATTTGGACAAAACGCGCATGAAATTATTCCCTAATTTCACTCGTCACCATTTGATTACACATACTAATTTCATGAAGTCGAGCGCACTTTATGAGGCTAGTTTATGCACGTTTGTATTAAGATCAGAGACAATGATCTGACCTAGTATGAGGTTTGATATGAGCTTACAGAACTTTAAATAGCCCTTAGTTGATATTTTATCTCCGCAATTAAATAGAAAGAAAAAACGTTCCGAAGAGTATTTAGTTATAATTTTGGCTGTAGAAAGACAGGAAATTTATTTCTGAGAGAAATAAATGGTTTTATGCTTAATGTGACCGATTAATGTCATTTCTCCCGTTATTGGGGAGGGGGCGTTCCTGCTGTAGCCACGAGAGACTGCGAGTTTTTTCCTGTTCTTTATTTTTTCATGTTTTGCGTTGCGTAAAGTTAGTTTAATTAGTGCCTTTGTTATCGAGCTTGGAGTAGTCTTTTGTTAGCCTTTTTTCATATGCGTATTCTTTCTGCATTCTAGTCTCGGCGTTGCGTTACGTAATCGTTATTGTCAATTTTTGTAAGTTCGTTAGGTTCATTATTTTCAGTCCAGTTTAGTATAAAGTCTTATTTTTGGTTCATGTAAATGAGTCGCTTAGTTGTATCCGGAGTTGCCGTACAGATCTTTGAATCGAGAAGTAAAAGTCGAATTCAAACTGTACGAGAGTGTTCTTTACACCTGCCATCCGGGACATTATATATTGTGTTTTTATGACATGAAAGCGAGGCACAAGGCCTCTCTGCTCACTGCAACAAGAAAGTTGGAAAACATTTTTCTCTCCCTTCCCTCCCGTTTTGCTCCACTTTCATCTCCCGGATGGCGGGTGTGCCCTCACCTTTGCTGGGATAAATCTTCTTGTGTATCTGGACTCTTGTGGCCAAATTTATCCCAAACTGGAATTGTCATTATTGGGTATCCCAGCAAACAGAGCTCACCCAAGACAAGACTCCACCAACAGCAATAACCGACTCAATAATACTATCTAAAGGAACATGGAGCATAAAGCTTTGAGCGATTTTCTTACCTCGAGTTCATCTTTGAAAACAGTAAACACCGGGAAGCCGGCTAAAAGAAGAAGACTCAGGATTTTTAGAGACGCTTTAATACTTGTCTTCGTGAATGAAAATTCTTGTCTCTGTAAATGTTTGTCCGAATTATATTTCTTTTATTGATTGTTAGTAGTCTCTTCCAATTTTAATCGCTTTGCCGTTTGTTTTCAGTCGTTCATAAACATCGCTTGCAGGAGTACTCAAAATGCCGCGCGTATGAAACGCTCTGCCTTTTTACACATCGTTATATAAAACCATTAAATAAAAAATAAACACAATAAATTCTTTATTATGTTAAAGCCCTTTATAGTCTCTTGGTTGAAGTGTGACTCTTTTAATGTTCACTGAAAATTTGGCGCTTGTCAAAAGTGAGAACCGGCTGGCCGTATAGGTGATTCTGGAAATTTTTTGAACGGTTTTGCTAAAAGCCCACGCGTGCTTCGATGGTTCTGAATATTGAATGAGTGCAATTTTTCTTGAAACATTTTGAAATACTGCATTTGTCTGAGGTCTCTATGATAAAAACAGCGCCTCATATTACTGTTTCACCTCAGATGTGATGTATAAAAAGTATGAAATGTTGGCTTACACGCACCCAGATTTGTTGGCAAGATTTTGTTAAGTAAACTTGCCGAACGCCAAAAATTAGGCCTAATTTGTTTTCCAAGAATTCGTTTTCCAGGCCTAATATACTGTGATCAAGAGCCATTATGGCTCTTAAAGTGATCGAAGATGATTGCTATTTTTTGGGTGTACATATAAGGCTATCAACTCGATGTAAGATTTCAGTTTCACTCTAAAATCACTTAGCCTTAGCTTTCCCTAAAAAGTCACATATGTGCCCTTAAGTTATCTGTTTCGTGGATTACAAGTTTATCGTTTGATTTAAATTAAAAATTTATTAATGGGAGCTTCGCTTTTAGCCCTGGCAACTCGGAAATGGCCTATTCTGTTCTGTTTTTTAAGGAAGGTGCACAGGACTTTGCACAAGTGTAACACCCAATATAATGGAGGGCCTCTAGCACGGCCAGCATCATTGCGGTTACTCACCGGCATCGAGTAGAAAAAGAGAACCACCAATGCGATTAATAATATGAGTATCAATAACTTTATTATCTACCACTTGTAACGTCGCCACAGTATGTATCTCAGGCTTTTAAACGGGGAGGAAAACCACGCAAAAGAGGTAGCTGGTCGGCTAAAAGAGAAAGAAAACGTGATTTATGAGAAGATTAATACTCATTCAAGAAAGAAGTGTACTTACTCTTTTGGGCCCGAAATCAAACATTCAATTTAAATCAAAAATTAAATAATTACATTGCAGGCTAGGAAACAAACCAATTTTATTTTGTCAACTTACAGTTTTTGCAGTTTTGTCATGTTCAGGTTTGCAGATAACAGAATAGCCTATTTGTTCAAACCTCGACAAAAACTAAGCTTTCCAGGCCCGTTAATTATCGGAAATTTCAAGAAACGGGTCATCTTATTTTTATTATTATTATTATTATTATTATTATTATTATTATTATTATTATTATCATTATTAGTTCTATTATTTTTGTCTGACGAAAACGATAACAGATGAATAAAGGAGATTGATACTCACTTAGGAGGATCAAGTTTGGGATGCTGGTTGGGTTCCTCTCGTCGTTTTCCAGCCGGTCTCTCTTCAGATTCTTGTTTTGTTAGAAGCTCTAACGTCATTTCCAACTTTCCCTGCCGTAAAACCAAGATGCAAGTATTGCAAAAAAAATTATCTTTAAGAAGTTTTTTCGTCTGATGAATTTACAAAACTCTATAAAGCGTTTTCACATGACGTCACGGCGGCCAAATTGGTGTTCCAAACCAATAAAATGGCGGCCATGTTGGTGTTCCAAACCAATCCTGTGGTAGTCGAACTCTTTTCTTATGTAAACACTTTCTTTTGTTCCAATAAATTTGCACAGATGCTGACCACGTGAGTGAAAACGCTCTATATGTATTGAAGTCAAGCAAAGGAAGGTGAAAGGATTAGTTAGGTTCTTTAGAATGAGAAGAAACGTTTAAAGAAAGTCACCAATTTGTTCTGAATTATCAGCCTTTTTCCATATAAAATAGTCACGGACATTTACCAAATTCAGCTGAAAAGAGGTGTGTAAAGTGAAAAAGAAACAATTCCCATGTTTTGTGTTAAACAAGGCCTAATTTCCAGGCGGTCTCTAGAACAAGGAATTCGTTTGATCTACTGTCAATTGCATGTCATTTAACAATCCTACTTACCATATTCCTGCTTTAGAAAATCCATTTGTTTCAGCTTGTTTTTTTTCCAAACGAGGAATATACAGTAGAATCCCACGAACCCTCGATTTTTTCAAATTTCTTAATTTTCTTTCACCAGTTAAACAATGAAATTATACCCCTGATTTTTTCAATCTCCCTATACCCGATAGGAGGCTGATTTCTCTAACCCTCGGTTTTTTTTAAACTTTTCGCCAATAATTCGAACCAAACCTAAATTCAGCCCTTCACTAGTCAAACACTCGTGTAATTCTACCTCGGAATTTTTTAACCACCCCATAATTCCAAGAAATTTGCTTTTGGCAAGTTGGTTAGAAAAATCAAGGTTCCACTGTAAATAAATATCGTCTGTGGTGGGACCGGGAAAATATGAGAACAAATAATAACTTATAGCAAGGCTGAAATCCCAACTGGCGGAAGAAAAACAAGAATGGGTTTCCCAAAGCGTGGCCAAAGAGCTAAACAAATGCGAACAAGTTATGGCTTCCATGGTCAAAGGAAGAACGGAAGATGACGTTCTATCAATGCTTGTCTATGGGCAAAAGTACCAGATAAAATCACGAATATCGACGTGCATTTATGAAGCTCGGCGTTTAACATTAAAGGAACTGAAAGGGCACAAAAGTCCTGACGAGATCGAGCCGGACAATTATGTGAAGATCGCTGAGGGCATTATACATCGACTTGAGGCAACTGTCGAGAAGCAGTGCAAGGCGAACAAAGAAATAAAAGAAGGATGTCTAAAGCATCTTAAACTAGCTGGCGAGAGCATGACCAAACAAGGTTTTTTTCGAGGTTGCATTTGTGTCGACAAAGGAAAGATAGCTGGTGTAGCACGTTGGTGGGCAAACACTAACACAACTGAAACATATCTGTATCGTGTAAAGGAAGATACCAGTGTGGGCCCTACAGGTGCTAAGGTTTTCACCTCTGCATCCCTTGAACCCGTTGCTACTGAATTAATTGAACTAAAAAACACATTACTGGATCTGTAGAATCCCTTATGGACAGCCAAGAAATCTGTATGGTAATTATTTTGTCAGCAAATTCTGGCCTAGTAGGCCAGGATTAAATCATAAAACCTTTTGTGAGTCTTACCAAACTGAGGTGAATAGTTCCTTGAAAAACGTAGGTTTCGAAAAATTTTGGCCTGATCTCGAAATTTCAGACGCATTCGTGATAGGTGCTAAAGTCTCATTTTCAGGTGATCTTGTGTCTCGGAGTCTCATCTTTTTTTAAGTTTTGGACTCTAATTTTGAAACCGGGGTCTCACAGTCTCTCAAGGTCTCAAATTTACCATTCTATACCCCTAAACTGGGCATATTAAGTTTAAAAAAATTCCTACGTCAATCACAATTAAGTTTGTCTGACTTATGAGTTTTGTTCAACCAACAAGTTCTATCAGTCTTCTTCAGACGAATAGAACATGTGAAGATCGTCTCAGGGGCAAGCGTTGATCTGCTCATGAGACAAATATTAGTATTATATGATAATGTCCATTCAGCCTTGTCAGGGAGGGAATTAATTGCTGATCATGTGCAGTTAGTTTAAAAGGCCATTTGATTAGAAAAAAGGCTCTGCAGGCAAGAATGCCAAAACCTCAAAATGCTGACTTCCCCTTGGAGAAAGAAACTGAACTTCTCAAATCTCTCTTTAAATGGCAATGGAGGCACCTGTAGTCATTTGAGTATGTTTTTTATGGAATGTATTTTCCCCCCATGTTGTCGTTATAAAGCTGTTGTTGTTTATCTTGATGCAACCATTTTCCCAAACAAAGCAAAACTTTATGTGTTCAGGCTTTGATTAAAAGTGATGTTCTTACTAGTTGACAAGTTTTGTATGCATAATTAATGTACCAAACCATAACCTTTAGTCTTATAAAAGCAAAGAACTTCACCAGAATGATTGAGGAGAAAAGTACAAATAGATAAAGTACTCCAAAAATGGACAACAGGGCACTTTTCTTTAAACATGGGGTAATAATACAAAATCTACATGGGGAGAGGTAATAATACTCTCTAGGGCTGATCATCCCCCAAGGTAGTTAGACTGAGATGATAATCCTCTCGAAGGGGTGATAGTCCCTTAGCGATAAACCTCTCTAAGGAGTGATCATCCCCAGGGTCGTGAGAGGTGATAATCCTCTCAGACTCTAAGGGTTGATAGTCCCCCAGGGAAGTGAGAGGTGATAATCCTCTCCAGGGAGTGATCATCCCCCAGGGTGGTGAGAGGTGACAATCCTCTCTAAGGGGTGATAGGCCCCCAGGGAAGTGAGAGGTGATAAGTCCTCTCTAAGGGGTAGGGCAAATGTTCTTCTCCAAATATATTTTACTATTACAGGGGTAAACAAAATCGTTTGTTACACCGAGGACTTTGTTATATATAGGTTTGTTATATTTAGGTTCCACTGTAAGAGGTGATAATCCTCTCCAAGGGATGTGATAGTCTGCCATGATAGTGACAGGTGACAATCCTCTCTTTGAAAATCCTCCCTAAGGGGTGATAGTTCCCCAGGGTAGTAACAGGTGATAATACTCTCAAAGGGTGATAGTCCCCCATGGTAGTGAGAGGAGACAATCCTCTCTAAGGGGTGATAGTCCTCCAGGGTACTGAGAGGTGAAAATACTCACAAACGGGTGATAGTCTCCCAGGGTAATGAGAGGTGATGATCTTCTCTAAGGGGTGAGCATCCCCCAGGGTAAAGAGAGGTGATAATCCTTTCTAAAAGGTGATAGTCCCCAGGGTAGTGAGTGGTGACAATCCTCTCTAAGGGGTGATAGTTTGCCAGGGTAGTGACAGGTGATAATCCTCTTTAAGGGGTGATAGCCCCCCATGGTAGTGAGAGATGATAATCCTCTCAAATGGGTGATAATCCCCCAGGGTAGTGAGAGGTGACAATCCTCTCTAAGGGGTGATAATTTGCCAGGGTAGTTAGAGGTGATAATCCGCGCTAAGGGGTGATGCGGCTACACGTAGGCTAAAGTGATAATCCTCTCTAAGGGGTGATAGTCCCCTAGAGTTAAAAAAGGGGGTAATCCTTTGTGAGGAATTATATTCCCCCAAGTTAATAAGAGGTGCCAATCCTCTCTAAGGGGTGATTGTTTGCAAGGGTTTTGATAGGTGGTAATCCTCTTTAAGGGGTGATAGTCCCGCAGGGTAATGAGAGATGATAATCCTTTCAAAAGGGTGATAATTCCCCGGGTAGTGGGAGGGGACAATCCTGTCTAAGGGGTGATAATTTAACACTTAAAATTGAAGGCAAGGTTGATCGGACAGCTAAGGTTTACAAATTTATTTGCCCAATATTTCGAATAGACAAAACTGGTCTTCATCAGGGGCTGGAAAAGCTAAGTGAGGATAGAATGAACGGTTACAGTATATAAAATAATACAAAAATAAAATTTGATTGGTGGAGGAATACAATGGACAAAAACTTGGAAAAAGAGGTTACATAAAAATATATGTCAATAGATTAATTTTCATCTTGTCTGTGCTTCCCATAGGGTTCAAGTGTTTTGCCTTATTAGTTCTAATGGAATTAGTTCTATGTCCTTGATGGAATGATGTGGAAGGGAGACGTGGTCTGAAACGGCAGTTGATAAAAGTGATTTGGGTTCCTGGCTTTTGCTATTGAGCATTGGTGCTCTCACTGAGGTGGCATTTAGTTTCACCGATGTATTACATGTTACATTCATTGCACTGGGTCATGTAAATAGACTGGAAGATGAACAGGAGATGTGGCGTCGGATGCGTCGTGGTTCGTTCGTAGAGAAGAAGGTGTAAGACGTGGTTCCTTCTGTAATAAGTTGCCAGGGTAGTGAGAGGTGATAATCCTCTCTAAGGGGTGATGCGGCTACACGTAGGCTAAAGTGATAATCCTCTCTAAGGAGTGATAGTCCTCTAGGGTAGAAAGAGGTGATAATCCTCTCTAAGGGGTGATAGTCCCCCGGGGTAGTGGGAGGTGATAATCCTCTCTAAGGGGTGATAGTTCCCCAAGGTAAAGATCAGAGAGGTGATAATCCTCTCTAAGAGGTGATAGTCCACCAGGGTAGTGACAGGTGACAATCCTCTCTAAGGGGTGACTGTCCCCCAGGGTAGTGAGAGATGATAATCCTCCATGAAAGGGGCGATAGTCCCCCGGGTAGTGAGAGATGATAGTCTTCTTGAAGGGGTGATAGTCTCCCAGGGTAGTGGGAGGTGAAAGGTGATAATCCTAACTAAAGGGTGATAGTCCCCCAGGGTAATGAGAGGTGCAGATAATCCTCTCCAAGGAGTGATCATCCCCCAAGCTAGTGAGTGGTGACAATCCTTTTTAAGGGGTGATAGTCTGCCTAAGTAGTGAGAGGTGATAATCCTCTGAAAGGGGTAATAGTGCCCCAGGGTAGCGAAAGGTGACAATCCTCCCTAAGGGTTGATTGTCCCTCAGGGTAATGAGAGATGATAATCCTCTCTAAGGAGTAATCATCCCCCAGGGAAGTGTAAGGTGACAAGCCTCTCCAAGGGGTGATAGTCTGCCAGGATAGTAAGAGGTGACAATCCTCTTTAAGGGGTGATAGTCCGCCAGGATAGTGAGAGGTGACTGACTGGCTTAATGTTGGACTTATGTGATTGACCTTACGTGTTCTAGATAATGAAGATAATCATTTGAATGTTACATATTTTACTAGAATGTTTGAAGAAGTTATAACCTGATACGTAATTAGTTGTATATAGAGGGTAGCAAAGGGTTTATGCGTGCCGTTTATGTCTTTTATCGTGCTTGGTTTAGCATAATTATAGCCATTTGCGGGGAATAAAGTACATGTATTGTAAATAAATACATTGTTGTTGGTGTTGTTGCTTTCACATTTATTATTTATCTATTAAAATAAGAATAGGAAATTCTAGATTTCCAATTGGCTGCTTAACAGCCAATCACAAGGGGTGGATCACGGATCCTCCTGTGCTTGAAAACATGAAGGTGCCGTTTATACGAGAGAAATTAACCCGCGGCATATAGGACGCAAAAGGAACCGTTTATACGAGTGCGGCTTACATAAGACGCAAACTGCTGGTATGGGGTTCACGGCTTTAATGGTTCGCGGGCAGACCAGTCTAATGATGACGTAGTTTGTTTTGGTGTCTCGTGTAATTTGCAATAATTTTTAGAACGAAACGATTGGCTTTGGTCTGGAAAATCGCCATATCTTACACTGTCTTTTTCGTTTCAAAATAACATTTTGGTCAAGATTAGTGCTGGGCTGTTGCGAAACCGAAAACCTCAACGAAAAGTTTGTCAGCGACCAATCAAGTGCTGGAAAGAGATGTTATAGCGATGGGTGTACAAAATGTCCGGCTCTCTCGTGCATTTTCACGCCCCTGCAGCGCGCGTCTCTCGGCGGTAACAGCGCATGCCCAGCATTCGTTCACTGCCTCAGCATAAGCTTCAGCAAGCCGCGGACAACGTAAGGTAAGGTAAGCTGCGGCTTTGATAAGCTCAGCACAAAATTCCACGGCCAGGATAAACTGTGGCTTGAGTTGGCCGTGGGTTGAATAAACCGTGAACTTAGATTTTGTGCCATTTACATGTATACGGGGGTGGAGGGGGGGAGGGGCTACGGGCCTGACTGCTGTATAAATTACCTTTAAAATTGGTCAAATAACTACAGAATGTTCGCAGTTAAAATGTTTATTAAAACAAGAAAATTATGCAGCCAGTACAGTCTGAACGTATGTTTAGGCGAGCGATCGCCCAGTTTCATGCAGTCAGTTCGATTGCATGGGTGGAGTGGTAAAGAGAAGAGAAGGCACAAGGCTGAAAAAACAGCCGGGGGGGAGGGGTTGCTCTTTCTCCGTCTTGATTCCCTGCCTCCTGTGACTGGTGTATTACTACAGGATAAAACAGTTTATTTGTATTACTGGGTTGATTGGTCTATTTTATAAAATAAATAAGACAGTTATCAGGGGTGGATCCAGAGTAGTTCAAGTGATTTCCACAAATCACTCAAATTTTTTCCAAATTTTATTTCTCAGCTCTTTATTGCTGTTGACGAAATCAATTATCCTCCTTTTTTTTATTGTTTATTATGAAATTAATAAAACGACTGAGGG